TCCGTGCCCCCCCCATGCAGCTCCCAAGACGTCAGGTTGACACGACCGAGGCTGACCGTCACTGATAGTCACTAATCTGTACCAAAACCACATCCAGTTTTCTTTCTGCTGGCATCTCAGTGTGCATTGCTGAAGACCATGCCTTGTTTCTGCTCATTTTTGAACTTGTGTAAATGGAAAGCCTACAATACAAATTCTTTGGGGTCTGGTTTCTTTCCCTTGTTAGGGCTCACAAAAGGATACCCCAAGTGAAGGCTTCCCCAGCAGAGTGTCTTTCTGATCTTCTGTCTCCCTTCTCCAGCTCCACCAGGGAAGCCATGGAAACCAGAACTTCCCTCAGACTGGATCACAGAAAGCAGAAACCATTTTCCCCAAAGCCGTCCACAGTCTAAGTATGTTTCTCCAATCTCCCACCTCTCTGTCTTGGAGCCGTTCATAAACTCTCTGACCTACCCTGTCTGACCTTATTTTGGAAAAAGTCCCACCCCTTACCTGGGAGAAAGGAATGCTGCACAGAGGTTAAGAATAGCAACATACAGATCTTCCCGGGTTTCTCCTTTGTGTCCATTGTTTCTGCCCAGTTATATTTCTACCAGGCTGTCCACGTTTCATCAACCCTATGGGTAAAAGTTCATCTGAGTTTCTGGGGCCTTTGTCTTGAAGGCTTTTGTGTCCTGTCAGACTGTGATCAAATGAATTTCTTATACTTTTGTCTTGCTAAACTATCTTTCTTTGAGGGGTATTGGCCATGATCTTTTATAACTGGCAAGAAAGGGATTGCCCTCTTTCCTACCCCTACCCCTTTGAATTAATCGGCTTTCCTATTGTTGAGACACAACCCCTAACACCCACAGTTTTAAAAAGGAGAGGGTGGACGCGGCTCCTGGCTTCAAGGGATTCAGTCCATGGTTTACTCCAAGGCGGAAACGGCAAGGCTGAGACTCACAGACCAAGGCCAAGCTTGTGGCGGTTAGACCCTTCGTGGAAGGGCTTGGCAGGGCCATGGTGCTTAGCTCACGGGGCCAGGACGCAGAGCAGGGGGACAGCACCAGAGAGGAAGGGGCCAGGGACCAGACACAGACCTAAAGCCACACCTCCACGGGGGTTGCAGACACACCCAGCAGTGTGCTTCACCAACCCCCGGGCAGATCCCGAAGTCAGTCAGTGGACACAATTCAGCTTAACCGCCGCAAGCCTTGGTCTCGAGCTGGGAGCTTCAGCCTTGCCGCCGCTGCACCTGTAGTGCGCCCCTTTCCGCTCTGTGAGGACTCACAGCCTGCTTACGAGAACGTTTCCCTTCCACCACGAAGGGCGTCTGGGTTGCGGGCGATGCTCCTGCGAACACGCCTGTGTCTCCTGATGCTCTTGGTCACTTTTGCAGGGTGCCCACGCCCACCCATGAGGGGAAGGGCTGCATCACAGGGTAAGTCCATCTCCAACAGAGCTCGTGACGGCAAATGCCTCTCCAAAGCGCTGCATCCCTGTGCACTTTCCCGCAGGGTGTGGACGTTCTTACTGTTCCCATCACCTCTGTCTCCTCCTCTGTCTCCCGGGAGCCTCCCGATTGGCCGCTGGGTGCTCGGAGAGAAAGCAGAGTCCTGGGTGTGGGTCCCGGGCCGAGCTGTCAAGCCTCTGTCCACAGGGCGGCCCGCTCTGCAGCCCAGCCGCTGGCCTAGCACCAGGCTCCTCCCAGGGATGGACAGAAGAAAGGGACCCGGGCCAGAAGGCAGAACCCACTCGCATCCCGTGCCTCTTGAGCAGACGCTGTTTCCCTTCCTTCCAACACAGGCTTGGCATGGACCATGGAGACTGAGCCAGGGTTAGGCCATCTGGCACCCTCTTGCTGCACAACCACAAATTAGTCCCACGCTTGGCCACGGTCGCCACCTCTCTGTGCACCATTCCTTCCTGTGGAGAAGGACAGGAGGGGAGAGGAGTGGAGGAACAGGTGGGGAGGAGAAGGAGACAAAGAGGG